GGTTCTTCCTGCCAAGTGCCCCAAGCCCAGAGCTGGGGGTTTGCAGGGCTCCTTCGCCCTCACCCCACCTCCTTCCAGGCTGCTCTGGCTACGGCTTCACTCTCTGCCCCCCTCCCCACCTCCGCCACCCTTTCTCAGGTCCCCGCCCCCTCCCCAGTGCTGGCCTTCTCTTCAGGGTCACCCACTCCTCAGCGAGCCTGTCCAAAACGCTCTGCTTTCTTCCAAAGCACGGGTCACCTTCCAACTACGTAACTGTCTTATTACGGTTATTCTTTAACCTATAGCCACTGTATGTGACGTTCACAAGGGCAGGAATTTAAAAACCTCTGTCGCGATGTCTCCCAAGTGCCCAAGAGAGGGGCCGGCAAGGAGCAGGTGCTGAGTGCCTGCTGAGGGACGAAGGGCAGATCCCCCACGGAAGCTGCCTCCTTCTCCTGGCTTACCATCGGCGTCGTCACGCTGCAGAGGCCCTGGTGAGGCGGCTTGCGCTCACCACCCTCCGTTCACCAGGGTGCTCTCAGCGGGGACTCGGGCCTCACTTTATCCCCTCGTCCACTCCGTCCCTGTTGTGGGAACCCTCCTACTCGGACGCATCCCTCTGTGATGGACGCGCAGTCCACGTGGCTGTGGCCTCCTGTGGTTTCCCAGCAAGGGCGCTGTGGGCTCTTCCCCACTGAGGAGCATTTACCGTAGCCGAAGGCCCAGCCTGGACTCAGCCACCGCTGTGCCCGGGGCCTGTGTGCAGTGCCCTGCTGGCCAGGAGGGGGCAACTCCCGACGTGGACACCCCAGTCCGTGCCCCCTCTTCCCCCATGGCAACCCTGCACTGTAGCGGATGGGCTCCCTGCCCTGGTTTGCACACCTCTGATGGCAGCCCTGGCTGGCTGGCCCTCGGCTTCTCTGAGCTGCCTGACTGTCCTGGGCCCACGTTTCTACCCGGATTCTCCTTTCTCTGGTTTGCAGGAGTCCTTTATATCTAAGCGTTAGGCCCTTTGCCAGTTCTAAACTCTGAGCACACGTCTCTCAGTCTGCTCTCAGTGGTCTATTCATGGTGTCCTTTGCCCCACAGGAGTTTTTACTTTATGTAAACTAACCCATCAAAACCTTGTCTTCGGGCTGTGCTTCAGGGATTAAGAAGCTTTTCTGCACTCCCAGCTCACAAATGTATTTTCCCACCGTTTTTTCTACTGGCTTGCGATTCTACTTTCACACGGAGACTTTTAATCCTCAGGGCGGCCTGCATACGACGTTAGGCTGGGTCAGTGTCCCTTTTCCCACAAACTGTGCTCCTCTGCCAGCCCCGCCAGGACACAGGCCTCTCGTCCAGGGACCCACGGGCGCCCTCACCAGCACCGAGCCCGTCCGAGGGTCTGTGTGGCCGGCTGTGTTTCTACAGTGTTGGCAGTGTTTCTACGGTGGGTTTGTAGCTTTTTTCCCCCCCAGATTTTTTAAAATCTGGAAGGAAATCACTGCTCTTGACTCGTTTTCAAAGTTGACTAAACTTTTTTAAAGTTTCAAGGTTCAATGTGGATCTTTTTCTTCCATATAAATTTTAGAGTTTAAGGTTCTTAAAAAATCAAATTTCATTCTGATTAGGATTGTGCTGGATTTCGCACAGCTTTCCCATCCCTTCTACTTTTTTTTGTATAATTTTGAAAGTGTCTATTAAAGAGCAGGTGCTGGACTTGGATTTGTGACCCGAGATGGGGACGGATGGGCTCTGACCCCATCTGCACATCTATCTGTGGTGCCTCCTTGAGCCTTTCTCTCCAGTGTCCTCTTTGCTTGAAGCTTTTTGGTTTTTTTCCCTACTTGTGAGTTGGATGTTGGATAATTTATCTGTCTACGAGCGGCTGCTCTAAACTTACATCTTCCCTCAAACTCTCTCTCTAAGCTCTCGCTCCCCCTCTTCCACACCAAAGTGAAAGCCTGCACAGTCTCTACTTGCACTTGCCATGGTCTTACCTCCAGATTTAAAAAAACAATAGCCATGCGGTTCGGGTCACTCATGGTTTTTCAGGGGCAAGTTTTGTGTCTTGTCAGGAACTGTCCTAGCATTCACAAAGAAAAGCACTCAACAACCAGTCGAGTATGTACTTTTAAACCAAATTTTGCTGGTTTTGGTACTGCTGCTAAACCGTCTTTCCCTTCCTTCGTTCCTTATTTGGATTCACTGTTCGTGTGGGTGGACTCCTCCACGTAATCTTTCCAGCAAGGGCACTCAAATCCTGAAACCCTGTGTTTCTAAAATGCCTTTCTTTTGTCCTCAGCTAGTGTCTGGCCAAGGGCAGAATTCTAGGGTCGCAACGCAAGGGCTCTCTGGGGCCAGGTCCTACCTAACCCTGCTTTCCTTTCCAAGAGTTCGCTCTTCAACAGGGAGACGCTCACAGATGCAGGTCACACAATCGATTCTGGCGAAGATTTGAGTCAGGACTTGGACGTGACCTCACCCTCAGGCCACCCCAGCAGGCGGTCAGCCCCGAGCTCTTGGCCCCCCATGCGGCTGCCCAGGCTCTGTGACAGGCTCCAGAGCAGTGCTGTCCAGTAGGACTTTCTGTGACCATGGACACGGGCTGACCCTGGCGAGATGTGGCTATGGTGTGGCAAGTGCGGCAGAGGACATGAATTTTTAATTTCATTTTAACAAATTTAACCTTGAACTGACGCAGCCACGTGCGGCATGAGGGGCCCAGGCTGGACAGCGCAGCTTGAGTCTTCAAAGAAGGAGGAACCCTGGGGACCCTGAGATTTGGTCCTCATTCTGCAGAAGGGAAAATCCAGGGCCCCAAGAGATGACAAGGTCCTTGTAGCATTCAGGCTGAGAGTCAACGTAAGTTTTGTAAAGAATAAGGCTGAGCGTCAACGTGTTTTGTAAAGAATAAGGCTGAGCGTCAACGTAAGTTTTGTAAAGGATAAGGCTGAGCGTCAACGTAAGTTTTGTAAAGGATAAGGCTGAGCGTCAACGTAAGTTTTGTAAAGGATAAGGCTGAGCGTCAACGTAAGTTTTGTAAAGGATAAGGCTGAGCGTCAACGTAAGTTTTGTAAAGGATAAGGCTGAGCGTCAACGTAAGTTTTGTAAAGGATAAGGCTGAGCGTCAACGTAAGTTTTGTAAAGGATAAGGCTGAGCGTCAACGTAAGTTTTGTAAAGGATAAGGCTGAGCGTCAACGTAAGTTTTGTAAAGGATAAGGCTGAGCGTCAACGTAAGTTTTGTAAAGGATAAGGCTGAGCGTCAACGTAAGTTTTGTAAAGGATAAGGCTGAGCGTCAACGTAAGTTTTGTAAAGGATAAGGCTGAGCGTCAACGTAAGTTTTGTAAAGGATAAGGCTGAGCGTCAACGTAAGTTTTGTAAAGGATAAGGCTGAGCGTCAACGTAAGTTTTGTAAAGGATAAGGCTGAGCGTCAACGTAAGTTTTGTAAAGGATAAGGCTGAGCGTCAACGTAAGTTTTGTAAAGGATAAGGCTGAGCGTCAACGTAAGTTTTGTAAAGGATAAGGCTGAGCGTCAACGTAAGTTTTGTAAAGGATAAGGCTGAGCGTCAACGTAAGTTTTGTAAAGGATAAGGCTGAGCGTCAACGTAAGTTTTGTAAAGGATAAGGCTGAGCGTCAACGTAAGTTTTGTAAAGGATAAGGCTGAGCGTCAACGTAAGTTTTGTAAAGAATAAGGCTGAGCGTCAACGTAAGTTTTGTAAAGAATAAGGCTGAGCGTCAACATGTTTTGTAAAGAATAAGGCTGAGTGTCAACGTAAGTTTTGTAAAGGACAAGGCTGAGCGTCAACGTGCTTTGTAAAGGACAAAGCTGAGCGTCAACGTAAGTTTTGTAAAGAATAAGGCTGAGCGTCAACGTAAGTTTTGTAAAGAATAAGGCTGAGCGTCAACGTAAGTTTTGTAAAGAACAAGGCTGAGCGTCAACGTATGTTTTGTAAAGAATAAGGCTGAGCGTCAACGTAAGTTTTGTAAAGGACAAGGCTGAGCGTCAACGTGTTTTGTAAAGGACAAGGCTGAGCGTCAACGTAAGTTTTGTAAAGAATAAGGCTGAGCGTCAACGTAAGTTTTGTAAAGAATAAGGCTGAGCGTCAACGTAAGTTTTGTAAAGAATAAGGTTGAGCGCCAACGTAAATTTTGTAAAGGACAAGGCTGAGCGTCAACGTGTTTTGTAAAGGACAAGGCTGAGCGTCAACGTAAGTTTTGTATAGAATAAGGCTGAGCGTCAACGTAAGTTTTGTAGAGAATAAGGCTGAGCGTCAACGTAAGTTTTGTAGAGAATAAGGCTGAGCGTCAACGTAAGTTTTGTAAAGAACAAGGTTGAGCGTCAACGTGTCTTGTGAAGGACAAGGCTGAGCGTCAACGTGTCTTGTGAAGGACAAGGCTGAGCGTCAACGTGTCTTGTGAAGGACAAGGCTGAGCGTCAACGTGTTTTGTAAAGGACAAAAGCCAACACAACGGTGGGGTGAGGAGCGGAAGCAGTATTCGAGCAGCCATGAGGGCAGCTCCCTAGAGACAGTCCTTGCAGAGAGATTCAGGCGGGCTCAGACCCGTCAGCGGCACAGCACAGTGTGTGCGGGAGGTGGCCCCTCCTACCCGAGGGCCGTGGGGGACCAACGGGCGTGCCCGGAAGGCAGCCAGCAAGGCCTGGCGGGCGGCCACTGCTCTTTAAGAGAGCGCTGGGGGTCACAGCACACAGGGCTGAGTCATCCTTTGCCTGCAGGTTTGTTTTTTAATATATAAAATAAAAAAAAATTGGCATCAACTGGTCTAGGAGGCTACGAAGCTCTGGGCTGACAGGCCCGAGGGCCCCTGGACAGCCCGGATGCCCCCCGGGCATGCGCTCCCAGACCTGCTGTTTCACCCTCTCAGGCGGGCTGTGACCTCCCTCTGAGAGGAGGAAACGGAGACGGGTCGTGAGGGGCGCCAGGGGCTGTGGGCCACTAACTCGGAACGCGGACCGGCCGGAGGTGACAGCACTAGTGTCCAGGTGGTGAGCGGCACCACACACGGCAGCTTTCACTCAGTGCCTTTTTATTGCCATTGGGTTTGTGACCATTGTTGATAGAGTGATGATTTAGGAGCAACGGGTGGACTAAAAACTGTGGCTGGGAGGCTCTTAGAAGAGAGGGTCCGGGAGCTTCAGAACCTGACGAAGGTGGCATCGATCTGCCGCACGGTGGGGAGGGCCAGCATGATCTTCCGCCGGTACTGGGGGTCCTTCTGCAGGGGGTTCCGCTCCAGGTACACCGTCTCCAGGCTCTTGGCGCCCTTGAGCTCGTCCAGGTCACTCCAGCAGTCCAGGAGGTTGTCGTTCATCTGGGGGAACACGCACACATCGGAGAAGCCTTAGGGCACTACAGCCCTGCACCGCCCCCCTTCAGAACACGACAGCCCTGCACCGCGCCCCCCTTCAGAACACGACAGCCCTGCCCCGCCCCCTTCAGGACACACCAACCCGGCCCCCCAGCCTCCCCATGTGGGGCATGAGGCCCCCACGCAGAAGACCAGCACTTCACGGGGCCTTCCATCCATCACGGCACACCCTGGCCGGGCTGCGTCCCACATGGGATGAACCTGGACACGGCGCCACGACAGGGGCAAATCCATGTTCAATTCAGCAGAGGGGAGACGGAGCAACCCCACCCCACCCCACCCTGTCTCCTGGCAAAGTGCTGCAGCCGCTTCGGCTGTATTTCCTACAAACCACCCTCGGCCATTGTCCCCAAGGCCTGACCATGCGCTCTGATGACAACATGGCCAACAGACCAGAGGTCGCTCACCAGACACTCAGGGCACGAGGGGCCTTGATGGCGTGCACCCCCGGGACACCCACCACCCACCTCTGTGGCGGAAATGCTGCGCCACGGCTGATCCCGCCCAGGATGTGCCACGTCAGGAGGACGGGCTCAGAGCAGGTCAGGAGGCCCTGTCCTGGCTCTGCTGAGGCCCGCGGGGCTGGGGTCGGTGGGTGGGGAGACCTCTCACTTTTCAAACCACCATCAAGGCGAGGGCACGTAGGGCCTCTGGGTTGGAGCACCCGTCACCCAGCTTGGTCCACACCTGTCGCGTGGATGTCGTGGCCCTTCTGCTGGGGCTCCAAGAGACTAGTCTTCAATTTCCAAAGAATAAGGCAGACGGCCAAGTGAACACAAACCAGAGAACTGCCTCTGTGAACGTGAGATGTGCCCTGGATGGCCGGAGTGAAGGGCGAGAGCAGGGGGCTCAGGTGGCACCCGCGGGGACATCACCGTCATGGCTCCCGGCTGTGCTGCGCCAGCAAACACTCAGTAACCGGCTCCCAGGGAAGCTGAAGAGCCCTGGCGTGTCGTGTCCGCCAGCTTCTGTGGCTGGTGACCTCGTGCCGACCGTAGCACTGGGAAGAGAGGTGCACGGCAGAGGCTCCAGCGCGTCACCGCCCGTGAGCTGACAGCTGACAGGGCTGGGTGTGCAGGGCGGGCGGGGAAGCTGCCCTGAGTGCATGGCCCGCACCTGCTGCCCTCACCCCCTGGCTCCGGCCACTCCCAGTTCTAGAAATCACGCTTCAAGAGACAACAGGCCTGGGGCCGGCCATGCACACGGTAGCAGGAGGGGCAGACCTGTTCCCTCGGAACCTGCGAGGGCAGAAGCGGGGTGGCCGAGGTTACACGGCGGTAGCCCCACTCAGAGAAGGTATGACATCTGCCTACGTGTGGGAGGTGAAGAAGCCGAGGCCCTTGACGCTCCCATCCACGGCCACTTGGTGGGGACATTGCAGAGGGTTCGAGCACTGACCAGGCACTGGATTAAGTCTCTTGAGAGAAGGGCCCAGTTTCGTCACAGCATCGGGGTCTCCAGGGAGGGAGAGGATGACGGCCGCGCTGCAGAGTGGCTGTGTGGTGGGGGGTCTTCGGGGGGAAGGTGAGAGCAGCCTGGAGGTGGGAGTGAGGATGCAAGCCACCTCCAGGTCCAGGGCTACGTTCACAAACGGTGACTGAAAACCTAGGCTTGGTTTCTTAGGACGACTTCCTTGAATACAGATCACATTTTCCTATTGTACACCTAGTGATTTTGGATTGAGCGCTGGACGTCAGGGCTAAGACGGTGTAGAGACCGCCACAGGCTCGGCTCCACACTTCCTCAGGGCGGGTCTCCAGGAAGTCAGGCCCCTCTGACCTGGTGGGAACCAACCTCCAAACGCAGCCTCCTCTGGACACACTGCTGCAGCTTGCTTCTAGGCTTTATTAGGGTGGGTCTGGAGGGCGTCGTAGCTGAGCCTGTGGTACTTACCCCTAAGGCCTGGCCAATTTGGTGTTTAGCTGGATGTCAAGGGTGCTGGTGAGACCCCCACCTGGGCAGGGCTGGAGCTCCATCGTCCCCCAGCTCTGCTCTCCCCCGGCAGAGCTAGTGGGTGAGCTGTGAGAGGGGTGGTCTCGTGCCCAGACTGCCCACCGCTCAGCCACAGCCTGGCAGGCGACCCCCATGTGGACTTCCGGGACCCTCCTCTGCACAGTTATCCCCTCTCTCCAACCCCTTGTCCTGAAGAGTCCAGCTGCCATGAACTTTGACCTCTGCATCTTCAGCTCCACAGAACTGCAGTGTTCCGCTTAGGAAGCTGGTCCTAGGCAGAGCAGGGCAGCCTGGGGCTCACTGTGCCATCCCCGTTCTCAGGGCCTGCGGCCTGCTGCTGCCTGCTGTGCGCTGCCCGAACAGAGCAGCCTCGGGCCTTGGGGTCTGTTCATGGCGGGAGGGCTACTCTGGCACCAGTTCCACTGTCACAGCCAGTCTTGTCTTTAATAACACACTGCACATTATGAATCTCCCACAGAGATTCCCCTAGATTCTCCCAGAGGGTATACAATGCAGGATTTCTCAGACTCGCCTATTTAAGGAACGCTATTTTCACAGAACTTCACGTGGGCCTAGTGTGCCACGTGCTTTGGGAAAGCCAGATTTCCAAAACCCAGAGGCCGGCCTTGTGGAGGGCCCGAAGCCTGCTTCTGAGCACAGAGTCACGGGGACCCGGAACTCAGAGCAGGACTCAAGGTGCCTCCACCACAAAGGGAGAAGGGCTCTTCCAGGATAAAGCCTTAAACAGTATATTCTGTTAAGCGTTAGTCTATGACACTCTTCTCGTACATGAGCTGCCCATGTGGCCAATGCAAAGTGTGCAAAATCAGAACCAGAGGGAAGCAATATCCCCTGTGGCGGTGGCTGCAGCTGCTCAGTTACCAGAAAGAGGCCGCTGCAGTGGAGAATCACGAAAAAGACACGCATGCCTTAAGCACTTTTACCTTGCAATGTGCAAACAGTACATTCATTTAATAAAAGTAGCAACGTTACGTCGCTTAGGAGAAGTAAGGTCTTTTCGCAGCAGAATCTACTTAGAAACCATCTCCCATCCGCTGGTGGCTGACACTCCGGCAGGGCCGTCTCCTCCTCATCTTTCTCAACAGAGTCATTTGTGCGCTTCCTGTGTCACACGTCACGGCATTTCCAATGCCACCGTCCCGTTAGTCCCCGGTGGTGCACTTACTATCTTTATAAACCCCAGGTCTTATAGTTGAGGGTATTCCACAGTACAGCCAGCCACAGGGCAGTTTTCTCTAGGATTTAGTGAATGTGAACCTGGGAGTTTTACTCACCACCAATGGCACATTGTAAAGGATGTCTTTGACACAGGTTAACTTTCAGATTCTTTCTTTTCTTTTTTTAAATACATTTATTTATTTATTTTTGGCTGTGTTGGGTCTTTGTTGCTGTGTGCGGGCTTTTCTCTAGTTGTGGCGAGCAGGGGCTACTCTTTGTTGTGGTGTGCAGGCTTCTCATTGTGGTGGCTTCTCTCGTTGCGGAGCACAGGCTCTAGGCGCGTGGGCTTGCGGGCTGTGTTGGGTCTTTGTTGCTGTGTGCGGGCTTTTCTCTAGTTGTGGCGAGCAGGGGCTACTCTTTGTTGTGGTGTGCAGGCTTCTCATTGTGGTGGCTTCTCTTGTTGCAGAGCACGGGCTCTAGGCGCATGGGCTTCAGTAGTTGTGGTGCGTGGGCTCAGTAGCTGTGGCTCACGGGCTCTAGATCTAGCATAGGCTCAGTAGTTGTGGCGCATGGGCTTAGGTGCTCCGTGGCATGTGTCATCTTCCCAGACCAGGGCTTGAACCCGTGTCCCCTGCACTGGCTGGCAGATTCTTAACCACTGCGCCACCAGGGAAGTCCCCAGGGATTCTTATCTTTGTATTTTTCCAAAACGGAACTCAAAACCATTCACCTGTACTGTCTCCACAGAAATTCCAGGATCTCTGGAAGCATCATTGAGGGGGGGAAAAAAAAAGGCCTTTATGTCTCTTTTTTCAAGTTCTGCACAACTGAGATGTAAAGGAGCAAGGTGTGATGTGGGGTATAACCTTCCAGGTACACCCGTCTTCTTAAAGAGTCTCCCAGAAGGTGCAATTTTTAGTTTTTTCCATCTAGAATGTTTCCCACTTCCTCCTCTCATTTTTTTTTCTGTTATATGAAGTCGACCTTTAAAGACACCCAGCTACCTGTCGTGTAGAAGGACCCTCGTTCTGGATTCAGCCGCCTGCTTCCCGTGGTGTCACCTAGCTAGTTCCCCCGGACCCTCTACTTCCTGACAACTGGAAGTTAGGTCTACGTGCTTGGTGACATCACTCTAAACATTCCTGGCGAGCACACTTCATAGAAGAAGCACATTGCGGGACACAAGGCATGAGGCTATCCCACTACCGGGGATAAGTCTGATCCTGTGGACACACTGGTGGCGCCCAGATGACTCTGGGCAACGCGTCTCCCCTTCGCAATCAGCAAACTCTCGGCGGGGCGACACTTGGCACATGTGCAAACTACCCTGCTCGTCCACGGTTTTAGAGCCTGGTGATGATCCTGCCTGAATCCCGGACTGGAATTCTGCTACAGAACATCACCCTGGCTGACATTCCCCAGCAGACTATCTCATGGTTTTCAAGACCCAAACTTCATAGGATGCATGCATTTCCCATCACAATGGTTTTTGGTCGCTTTTATATAGAAAATTTACATTTACTTGCCCTCAAATTCAATAACATTTTAAACAAAACTGAGGTGTGGGAGAATTCCCAAGATACATTTCTCACACAACAGAATCACTTCAACAGAGGGGACGTGTGCCTTGTATGTTGCTGGCATCAAAGAAGGTGTCTATTACTTCATACAAAGCTGGGGTTCAAGAGAGAGCAAGGGGGAGCCCCTAGGAGACAAGCCAGTCTTTTCATAACCCCGTCACGGGGGTGGAATCCTGTTTTCTGCCGTATTCTGTCGGCTGGAAATGAGTCACTAAGGTCAACACACACTCACGGGGAGGGGTTACACACGGCATGAATATCAGCACCTTGCGGGGGTGGGGGCACACCAGCACCTCGCGATGGGTCACAGTCTGCCTTCTTGCACGCCTAGCGCTGTCTCACTGCTGGGCGCTGGACTAGCCCCAGCCTCCATCTCTGGACCCCTCTTCTGGTTGTGCGGTTTCTCTGTGTGGTTCCCTGGCCTCTTCAGAGCCAAATCCCTTTGCTCCAATGCAACCGGCTTACCACTAGCCAAACCTGCCTCCGGGGGTGGGCTGTACACCAGACCCCCGGCTCACGGTGGCTCGCTCGGCTCCCCCAGCCTCTCGAAGGCTGGTTCTGGTCTTCCTAGACTTGCTCTGGCATCACGTGCTGACAACGCCCAAGACTCAGTGCTACCACTAAGGGGCAAGGGACATGCTCACAGCAGGCCACCTGTGCTCTAGGGAAACCGGGACAATCTTTTCAGATGAGGAAAGGAAAACACACAGGACACAGGCAGGGTCAGTAGGACAAGGACAAGGCTAGACAAGGAAGAAGCGTGCCTTAGACGCAGCACGAATCTCGGATCAGACTGAGCGCGTCCGGACGACGCTCGCTTTGCAGACGGCAGTCACCGGGGGGAATGTGTGGTGGCGCCTGCAGGGGCCACCAGGCAACAAACGTGCTTCAGGAAGACACCCGTGAGGAACCCTGACACTGAGGGCTTCAGCTTGGGGGTCACCCTGCCACCCCCTCAGAGGAGTCTCAAGACATCTTAGGCCCCGTTTCTCTTCCTCTGGGCTCGGTGACCCTGCTCCCGAGACAACACTGTCACCATGAGGCAAACACAAGGCACATTCTGGGACAACTGACTGCAGAAGCCCATGCGACGCCTCCTTCCGCGGTGCCGGTACACCCCTGTGCTGGGTGCACTGGCCCCTGGGCTGGGTCTGGAAGCCCTTCAGTCATGTGGCAATCCTCGGGTCTAACCGTACACTGTGCAGGGCTTCTCACACTTTCATGTGAACCGCAATCACCCAGAATCTTCTAAAATGCCCATTTTTGTTTGATCTACATCTGGGGTGTGGTGGGGCCCGAGATCCCGCGTGGGTGCCAAAGTCCTACAGCCCTGCCCGCAGTCCCATTCCACGCCACAGCCTCCAGGGCTGGAGCAAACGGCATTTCACTCAGCAGGACCAGTGCAGCTGAAGTGTCATCAACCCCTTGTGTATTCAACTTACCCAGAATTCCTGCAGCTCTGTTAGATGGCTGATATTTTCAATCTTTTTGATTCTATTTGACGCAATGTCCAACATCGTGAGTTTGTTCTAAAATAAGGAAATAAAATTTTTCCTGGATTACCTCAGATCAACAACCAGCGCGCGACCATGCACACAGCGTTGGGCGCTGAGCTTAGAGCCATGAGGCGAGCTGCCCTCTCAGGACTGGAGTGCGCTAGCAGGGGGGCGGCACTGCCCAACTCCTGCAGCCTCCCCGCCCACCCCCAGACCAGGCCGAAGACACAGAATCCTCACGACTGCCTCACTGCGCTCTCACCATTGGGGTCTGGAACTAGCTCCTTCAGGTCCCAAGCCCCAGGCTCCCAGATCCTGGCCCACAAGGACCCCAGCGACATGCCTGGTCCCGGGAAGGGCAGCTAACACGAGGCCGGGGCTCTGAAGAGGGGGTAACAGCTGCAGCAGCTATTTAGTGCTTGACCCAAGGAAACATGCAATATTCCAACCGATGCTTATAACAGTGCTTCCTTCTTCTTTTAGGGCTGAGGAACCTGGGGCTTGGCGGGGGCGAGGGGCCTCCTTCCGGCACAGGAGGAAGGGCGGAGAGGAACGCCTGGGCGCTGAGGGACAGCGGGTGGCCACTGGCCTGGAATTTACGGCTGATGGGAGAGAAGAAAGAGGGGGCTCAGCCCCACTGGGGACAGCGTCCGGGGCTCGCCCACTGCGGGGCAGGCATCACACTGTCTTGTGGAGACAACGCTGTGCTCGACCCTCTATTCCAGAAATGTCCAGCAGACGCCTACTTCCCAGCACACATCAGCTAAGCCCGAGGAATTTTGTTTTTAAAGTTCACAGAGTTTCAAGATTTCACAGAATAAGACTGTAGTGAAAATGAAGCCTCTGAAAGCCTGCACTGCTCCCTAAAGTATGTCTAACCAGACCAACGGGCAAGTTTTTCTAAAATCAAAAGGGAAACATTACAAGTTGGTTGACAGTCCCCGACAATACATTCTCTTCCTCTCTGCTCATTTCTGATTGCGGGTTGCCTTCTTACATTTTCTACTGTGTTCCTGGGATTCTGACTCCAAATACCAAGTTTTAAGGGAAAGTTAAAAAAAAAGTCTCAATAAAATAAAAACAAAGCCCACAAACACACACACGAGCAGGCAGCCAGAAGCTCTGCCGACCCAGAAGTGCTCTGGTCCTGGCCCGACTCCTTGAGGGCCGGGCACAGTGTCCTGCGCCGTCTGGGCACAGACGCGGGTGAGGAGCCCTTCCACTGTCTTCTGTTGGGCTCCTGGTGTCCGCTCAGATAGTTGGGTGACTACAGGGGGCTAGGAGGCGCCTGCCTGCGGGGCTCGGCGACTTTCAGAGCAAACAGGGACTCGGGAGAACTCTGCAGAAGTGGGCCACCGTGGGCAGCAGGGCGGGGCCAGGGCAGGCCCGCTGCCCCCTGCTCTGCGGTGCTGGGCGGCGTGGGATATGTGAGTGCAGGAACTGGCCAAGCTAAAGCGTCTGCGGCCCGCGGCAGGATGTGACCCTTGTGCAGCCCCAGCAGAAGGGCTCAGCACCAGGGGCACCCGGCTGCCAGAACCGGCCCCAAACGTCCAGGAACAAGGATCTGTCATGCGCTCAATACTACCTCGTGTTTTCCTGAGGAGCTGGACAGTGTTTTGAAAGCTCAGTCAAAAGCAAACCAGTAAGAATTGCTTAAAAAAAAAAAAAAAGGAAGGGGACAGGGTGGGGAGAGCACGCACAGGAGAGATCACCCCACTAGACCCACAGGAAGACGACCCAGCACACAGAGGGGCAAACAGAGGCAGCAGTAGGGGAGGACTCAGCTGTGGTGTCAAGATGGTGGATCTGCCATTTGGGAAAAGGATACTTACTGCCTGACCTCACACCACAAAAGGTAAATCCCAGACAAATTAAGAGATAAAGCTTAGAAGAAAGTATAGGTGAATATTTGATCTCTAGTTGAACAAAGATCTCAGAGGAAAGCCTGTCTCATTTGATTACAAGAATCTTACAATGATTACCTTTAAAGCCACAACTGCTTTTTTTTCTGTTTTGTCACAGAGGCCCCAGAAGGGTGCAGTGCTGACCCCAGACCGAGGCGCAGCGCTCCTACTGGGACAGTCCTAAGCTCTTGCCCCGTCCTGTGCGCCTGGGACCCCACTGCTCTTTTGGGCCATACCGCTGCCACGCCCTCTCCTGCGTGGACCCTCCGCTGACTGTGGGGACTGGCGGGGGAGGCCAAGGAGCAGAGGGGGCACCGCCCGGCTCCAACCGCATGGCCTCCGCACGGGCGCACCTGTCAGCTTAGCCTCAGGGTCCCATTCTGCACCGGCCGAGTGTGCACCCAGTTTACACACCAGCTCTGTAAACTCTCAGTTTGATTGGAAGGCAGGGAAAGGCGACGAGACTCACTGTAGGCAAATTCTAGCTTTTCCAAAATTTTGTATGTAGATGTTGGTGAAATGAAATTCAGAACGTGGATTTCCCCTGAAAACATTACTAACAGTGGCTAGGCCCAGGGGCTGAGGCGCAAAGGCCGAAGGAGACTTTACGAAGATTGAGACGCTGTGTTTACAACAACAGAAGTGACCAATCTGGTTACACTTGCTGGCAAGTCAACAGAACAGGAAAAAAAACCCAGTAAAATTGAATGAGTAAAAGTATTTTATTTGTCGTGAATACTGCACTGAGGAAAAGCAGGTTTGCCTGCAGGCAGCTGAGGGGCGCAGGGGCTTCCTAGGGGCTCAGGGCCAGCGCTACCCCTCCCTGCCCAGCGCCCCTAAGGCTGTCCTGCGCTGGGCGGGCAGGGCTGCTGAGGGGCAGGCGGGAGGGAGCGAGACTGTGCAGGATCTGGGCCGGGGGGGGGCGCTGCTGGCCCCTCAGGCTGGGAAGTGGGGTCCGGAGCAGGAAGAGGGGGTGGCTGCTGCGCCCACTAGCCCTCCGTGGGACAGGGACACCTAGGAGCAGCCAGGGGTTACTTTTTTCTTAACTTTAATTTATTTTTGGCCATGCCCCGCGGCATGTGGGATCTTAGTTCCCCGAGCAGGGACTGAACCTGCGTCCCCTGCACTGGAAGCGCAGAGTCCTAACCACTGGACGGCCGGGGAAGTCCCCGGGGTTTACTTTTTAAAAATCTTCCCAAACGCCTACAGGGCCATGCAGTGAATCCACCCCTGCGACACACAGCTCAGCTCAGTGCCCGCTCAGGGCTGAGCAGAGACCACCTGTGTCTGTGTTTCCCAGCATGAGGAGGGATGGAAAGGTCACTAGGACAGAGCTCCAGAGGCAGCGAGTCCCCTCGAGAGCCACCCGGAGGCTGGTGTGTGCTGCCTGCCCGTCGGGCACCCCATGACCCCACTGCCCCACAGGCGGCCGGTGGGCTTACGTTGTTGTCCAGGCCCTCGATGACCTCGATGCCGTTGTGGCTGAGATAGAGCTCCCGCAGGTTCACCAGGCTCTGCAGGCCCTCGATCTTGGTCAGCCGGTTGCCCTGCAAGAGGGAGAGTCAGAGCAGCAAGGACGCGCGAAGCCACGTGGCTTCTGGGAAGTGGGGCTGCTTACCGTGGGCGCCTGACGGCGGGGCATCTGGATACAGCTGCGAGAATGGGACTCACACACACAGAAAAGGAAGACCGAAATCTTGGGTCTGCTGTACTGCACTAAAGCTCATACGCGGGGTTAAAGGCTTTTATGCAAAGCACTCACTTTTCATCTACTTGGGGAAGGTCTACCTCAATTAATTTAGTAATTCAAAAATGTCAGAATCACAGAATATTTTAAAATAAAATCAGTTCTCATTTCTTTCAGCATCTACTATAACTCAAATTAAAACCTAACGCCCTCTTCTTAAAGAAGTCTGCAGAACGCCTGCTTTCCAAAAGGCACCTGTGGTTTTAGGGGACCTGCCACGCTGAGGCCCTGTCCTCAGAGCACCCCGCCACATCCTGCCTCAAGGGCCTGGTGCCACTTGCCTGCTTCTGACAAAAAGGAACAGGAGCTGAGGCGCAGCCACGTGCTTCCCAACCCCCGAGCCGCGCATGGACGCAGGAGGGCCGCTCCCACCGTGGAGCCCAGCACTGTAGGTTTTGGAACGAGCTCCACCTTCTGAAGAGGCCCTCTGGCTAAAAACCAGTTCGTACTTTTGCTAGGAAAAGGAGCGTGATGCTTAGAGAATGAAACTGCGGTCCAGCGTGTCAAGCACGACTAAGGGCACTGAAGTATGTCTCAGTCGCCCCCTGCCGGTGAAACAGCCCGTCAGAGCCCGGGCCCTGGGCCTGCAGGACGGGGAGGCAGGGGCGGGGGCCAGGGCGGTCAGTACCTGCATGCTGAGGACTGTCAGGTTGGTGAGTGCGTCCAGGTTCTGAAGCTTAGTGATCTTGTTTTTCCCCAAAAACAAACTCTCCAGGCTGGTTAACGCGTCAATATTTTCAATTGCCTGTGAAAATCAGGACAGGGCAGCGCTTAGCTACCTGGGGAAGAGAAAGATCTCTGGGCAAGGAGAGCCGCCCGGGGTGCCGGGCAGGTGATTCTCCACTCTGGAGAATCTCCCATGCAACCTCACGTGGAAGCACAACATGAGAACACAGAAAAGGTGGGGGTGGGAGCGAGGCGTCAAGGCCCCCCCTTACTTGGGCTCACTCCCGGACCTCGAGTTTCCACAGAGCCCTGGAGCTCTCGGGACTTCTCAGGTCCCTCCAGTCCTAAAATTCCGGGTTGCCACATTATTACGTGACTCTATGTAGGGTTTGTTAAAATGCATTCCACAGGAGACAGAAGCTGGGAGCTCTGGCCTTGGGATGCCCTACGGGATTCCTGGAGCAGGTGCCCCCGTTCCCTGACTCTCTGCCCCTCTTCCTGTTTCTGCCACCTGCTTCCTTGCTTTTCCTTGCTCCATGCCGGTGCTCCACCATTCAGCTGGAGATGGATCTCCCACAGCGCCTCGGGTAGCAGCCAGTTTAATCAACGCCCACTGACCAGGCCTCACGCCGCCCCCTCCTCTGAGTTCACTGCTCTCCCAGAACAGGTTAACTACTGGCTTCTTCAGCAGACACTAAATGACCAGACTATGTGCACGGGAACACAGTGGGGCCCCCAGCAAGTGCAGACCAAGCATCTTGTCTGGCCCTTCACAGCAAGACGTGGCTGGGGGCAGTCTATGAGGATGAGGATTCAGAGGGAGGGCATCCTTAACTGCTACGGCCTGCATCAATTTGTGATGACCCACCTTTCTCTTGGAAGATTCTATAGAGAAATAATCGATAAAATGCTGACATCTGGGCCACTGTCTAGTTTTAAGTGTGCTGCTTTGCTATTTTCAGCTGTATCACCACCATCGTCATGAGAGGCCCTTTGCCAGAACCACTCTCCTTGGTTTGCATCCTGTCCAGCTCATGAGGGCCAACCTGGGATGACCGTGTGCTACGAGCTTCCAAAAGTTGGACGGAGGGTCACTTGAAACACGGAGGGAGGGGAAGAGGTGCTCAGAAACCCCTGCCCCAGCCGCTCAGCAGGGGAGGACGGGCCAGCCGAGCACCAGGCTGTGTGCTCCTTCCTGCGGCCCTGGTGTGGGGCGAGGCACCGGCAAGCCACCCCTCTGCTGCCTTGGGACACTTTCACCCTGCAGTACATTCAAAAGCAAAGCGTTTGGGGCTGATCAGCTCATCTCGGGCAGAACCTAATGGAATGGTTTGGTAAGAATTATGTCATGGTTTGAATGGGGAGCAAGTGAACTCTACGTGCAGAAAAAAGGCTAGACCGCTGCACCTGGGCACACACTCTTATCAACACTGACCTCCAGTCAGCACTTTTTCTTATGAAAAATACAGCCGACCGCACACCCCGCACCCACACCGTTCAGGCCACGCAGCCGCCACGCTCGCACCTACCCGGATGCGGTTGGACCCCAGCTCCAGCATCTGCAGTTGATGTAAGCTGCTTACGTTCTCAATTTTATTGATTTTATTGTTGACCAAGAAGAGCTTTTTCAGTCGTGTCAACTTATCAATTCCTTCAATGTTTCTCAGTAGATTAAAAGAAATATCTAGAATCCTGGGAACAGGCAAAACATTTATTTTTTAACGAGCGCAGGTCACACAGAACTCAGAAGGTAATTAACTTAGAGGCAGCGTCCTGACCTGGGGGACCGTGCCTCACCCGGGGGCAGGCGCAAAATCTGTGGCTGCCCAAGAAGGCCCGGGAGAGCTAGGAGGCAGCCTACAGGCTCCCGATGCCTCCGAGCTCACGGGATGGTGTTGAGGGCAGAGACCACGTCCTCCCTGGAGAGACCAGACACAAGCCTCGACAGGTTTAGTCTGCAGGCTGGGACTGTGGGCAAAGCCGACCCTCACTGGAGCCAGGTGCAGGGCAGGACCCTGGGGCAGAAGTGGCCTCCCTGGGCCTGAGAGCTGGGCCCCAGGGCTGGCTCTGGGGAGGCTGGACGGGCCCCTCCGTTGTCTCCCTGGGTCTCACGACTCACTCCAGCTCCGTCAGTCCCTCCAGGTTCTCAATCTTCTTGATTTGGTTGTCGTAAAGATCCAGCTCTCGAAGACTCTGTAGCTCCTCTAGATTCTCAATGCACTTAATTAAATTTTGACGGAGGCAGAGAGTCTAGGGGACAGAAAGAGGGCAGCTGACATAGGCAACAGGGAGGCCAGGAGAAAGTGCCCGCTGTTACAGGACAGGCCTTCTGGGTGGGAGGATGTGGTTTTCCTTCCCGTTTTCTAGAAAGCTGTTGACCTTGGAAAGGATGGGCAGACACCCAAGGGAGGCTGGAGGCAAGCCGCATACCGAGCAGACCTACTTAGTGAGGGAGGCAGCGGGCAGCGGGGGTGCTGTGTCCCAGCAGAGGGAACCCTCAGCGGCTCAATTCTGAAAAACAGATTGGACTGAAGCGAGTTAAGCACTGCACAGGCAGGGGTGTGCGTGGCTGCAGGCGGGCTTCGACCTGAGGCACTGCAGGCGGCCGCACGCCTGAGCCACCACTTGAACCTGGGGCGAGCCACCCAGCCTGCCGTCTGCCCTAGCAACCCTGCCAGGCTCAGGAGGAAAGGTGCCCGCCAGCAGCTCCTGGTGCGGCCTGGCACCTTTGCAAGGACTGTCACTTGCGCAGAACTGACTCTGTTCTGGGTTTATCTATGTCCTTCGGGCGGGACAGACTCTGGAGTGTCACCTCCCCTGTAAGGACGGAGTTCCTCTCACCTTCACTTTCTTCAGCACCTCGAACCCTTCAATTTTTCCAATGCGATAATGATTCAAATCAACGTCCTGAAACAAGACAAGACCTAGCTCAGCTGCAGGCAAGCGCCTGAAGACATGCTTCCTGGAATCGGAGCCACGAGGAGGCCGGGCGGCGGGTGGAGGCGAGGGTGAGGGGAGAATGGACTGTGCAGACGGGGCGGGGACTCAGAGGCGAGCTGCAAAATGCTCCTCGGTTCAGCTACCATGGGTAGCGGCTTGATGTAAAACTGACCCTCCAAGCGGGTGGGATGGGAAACCTACTCTCACTCCTTTGCCCCCTTAGCACAGAGTACAAGCCCATGCTCTGAGTCCCGCGTCCCCACTGACGGCCGGCTGCGGGCTCAGGGGAGGCCCCACGGGCCGCCTAGACACAGCGGCTGGCTCCGCCCTTCCCAGATCATTAATGCGCGGTGCTTCTCAGAGGCTGGGGATGGCAGGACCCCAACACATACAATGTAATCATCTGACCCATATAATTTGAGTCAAAGGCGTTTCATTTGGTTAAATAGAAATGGCAGGTCAAGCACTGGTATTAAAAACAGTAAGAACACAGGGTCTCTGAGCCAACGGAGACAGGCTCAGACAACTCCTTGCAGGGAAATCACTCACTAATCTGGCACCCTCGTAAAAGATACCCTGATGGTCAGAGTGCTCTGTCACCATGCCCCCCGAGGTTGGGTTGAGCAGGCAGCATTACCTCTGCATTTCTGTCCAGGTTAATGGTTTCCATATCCACAGGCAGCTCTTGTCCTTCTGAAACAACAAGAAGAAAAGCCCATTCAGAGCCCCCAGTCTCCAGGAGGATGCAGCCCCAGCGTTCGGGCTGCCTGGAGCACAGAGCCAACTCGAAAGCAGAGGAGAAACCAGCAGGCAACACCCGGAGGGCATGGATGACGTGGCAGAGCTAACACCTGTCTGACAATGGTCACCTTTCAAGATCCTCAGTTTCCTGAACTCAGCAAACGCCTCCAAACTTCCATCTGTGCCGCACAACTTCCCAGGAAGGGAAATGCAGTCTGACGCTGTTGTCAGAAAAGCCGGCGGAGGGGGAACGGTGACCGAGCCTCAAGTGACCCCAGCCAGGGGCCAGGAAGCTGCCCACTGCCACCTCCTGGTGATGCCCGAGGCTGCGTACCTGGTGGCAGCCTGCCTCCCAGTCTTTCCCTTCTTGGCCGGGGCAAGAAATCAGGCCATTTGAATACAGATCACGCTGCACACATCAGATGTTCTAGGATGTGCCTTTTATTGCTTTGGAAAGTGGCCCAGCATCTACAGACGCGTCTGTCTGCAAAGAGCGAAACAAAATGCTCAGCTCAACAGACAAGATCGAAGAGTCTCGCTGAGCAATTTCTATGCCCCTCTTGCCGGGCAGGACGAGGAGCCAGTCCACCCTGGAGAGCGGGCCTCCCGTCCGAGGGCCTGAGGAGGGCGGCCACCGCTCCTGCGCTGGGCTCTGGGCCTACTGCAGCACATCGTCTAAAAGGGTTAAACGCTCTCCCTAGCCTGCGTGTGTTAGGATCTGAATGAGGCCACACACTGTAACTGGAGGGCATTTCTATAAAGTCTCCGTTTGTTCTTGCAATTTGTTGTTGAAGAAACTGGGCCGCCTGCCTTGGAGAGGCTCCTCCTCGGTGGCAGCGGCTCCTCCACGGTGACTGCTGTCCGGCCTGTGCCCCCAGGGACCGCTGGTCACCGCTACTGTTCGGCCTGCTTCCTTCAGCTGCCTCTCCCCGATGGCAACACTGCGTATGCTCCTGTGGCTGAGCAGGCTCACAGCCCCAGCCTCACGCCCCCAGCGCCCCCCAGCACGGGGTGGCTCGCAGGCTGGACTGGAGGCCTCGGACAGGCACGCCCGACACAGGCCCAGCCTGACAAAGACGTCCTGGCGCCCCACTGGCTGAATTCACCGCGCCGCCTTTTCCATAACCACCGGCAATGGCTAGTTAAAAAAACATGTCATTTACTCTAGTTCAGCCATAGCTTTACAAGATGTCAACCAACCCAAAAATTAAATAAAAGGAGCTGGACAAAACCAAGAGATATGCCCAAACGATCCCCCTACAAAAGACAGCACAGCCAATGGCCTGAATTCAGGAAGCTGCAACGAAAGACACGCGCTACAACAAAGGCAGGGTGTCCAGGACACATGGTCACAAGGCTTAAAGGGTTCTGTTTGTAATACATCCAGCACAGGGCAGTGCTCAAAATGGCAGCTTAACCTTTGAAACAAAGTTACCAGCCATCTTTCCAAACCTATCCTGTATGTTTTAAGTTTTAAAACAACTTACAGAAAATAAGTGAATGGTACCAGTGGTCACGTTTGAATTTGTTTTACTTGAACTTAAGATCTAAGTAAGTACAGGTTGGAGCAAGTCCTGGTTTCTCTAAGGACCTATAAAAATGCACCTTCCCAGAGGACTTCTAACCAGCTAGTAGCCTGGAAGAAAAAACACCAGATCTAGACAAGTCGGGGTCCAGTCCAGGGGCTCCACTTTGTAGCCATGTACCCTTGGGCGAGTCACAGTGAGCCTGTGCTCACGAGCCAGGAGAGAGCCCATGACAGGGCTCTGTCAACATGCCAGGCATTCAGATGTGAGGGCAGGTGACGCTCCCGCCGCACGGCCTTCCTGTGGCTGAGTCACAGCAACAAGAGCTTTCACCCATCACTCCCGTGTACTTATTCCACCCACATCCCTCCCAGAACATCGACTCTGACGTTCCAAAGTAATGTGACTGGTACTTTTGTGGTAAAATCTCCTTTTGCCTTAAAATTAGGTTGCCATAGTCACCAACCATCTTCACTGGCACAGAGCATGATGTTATTTTAAAAATTCGTTTTGTTTTAATTACCATAACGGTAATGCATGACTATTAAACTTCACTGTTGTGGCCTCTCCCGTTGCGGAGCACAGGCTCCGGACGCGCAGACTCAGCAGCCACGGCTCACGGGCCCAGCTGCTCCGCGGCATGTGGGATCTTCCCGGACCGGGGCACGAATCCGTGTCCCCTGCATTGGCAGGCGGACTCTCAACCACTGCGCCACCAGGGAAGCCCTGCGTGACTATTAAACTTTAAATACCCATATACACTGTGTATAAATCTAGAAAATGCAGAAGGTACAAGACCCTCTCAAACCTGCTGTTTAGAGAGACTGCCCCCCGGGCCAACAACAGTTTGATGTGTTTTCTCTCTTAAGTAAGTAAAACTACATACTATTATTATCATTTAAAAAATAAAGATAGGATTTTAACATGCATACCATTTGTAAAAAATCTGCTTTTTTCAGCTAATAATATATCTTGGGCATCTTTATGTCTGTTTGTATGGTTTCTCTCACTCCTCTGAATGTAAACTGATTTTCTAAGCAAGCAAAGAAAACAAAAAAAAGGCTCAGATCATAGTTTGGGAGGGTGAAAACCCACCATTACAGGCTGAGAACTTACTTTTCTCAACTCTAAATTCATTTTGTTGTTGTTAATCACTAAACCAATTTAGAAGTTGATCCTCAGGCCTATAAGTTTGGTGGACAGGACTCAGAAATGACTAAGAGAGAATCAGTTTACGTCCACGGTAGGAAAAGAGAGCACGCTGGTTAGCCGAACTGTTTATTTCAAATCTCACTTTCTGAACATGTGGTTAATAAAACAATCTTCTGGTTCTGTTTCAGATGACACATTAGTATCAATATCATTAGTATTTGCCTTCAATGGAATTAGGAAAAAGTTCATCCTGCCTGCAAGTGCCGTAAGTGTGTAGCTAGCTCAGGGAGCACCTCAGAGGGCGCCCTACTCCCAGCACCTACGCCCACCACCCCTGGCCACCCACCAAGGGCCTCCAGGGGGCCCATCACATGCCACAGAGCCCCATCCTCCTCCCGCTTAGTGAGTTTAAGGTTCTTAACTCGGCCTGGTACCTTCTGGGTCCTCTTCCCCTGGGTCCTCTTCCCCCGGCTCCTCTCCGTCCTTCAGGCTGTGCGCACTGAGCTCGGCCACCATCCCGCTGCTCTGCTTCTTCCCTTCTTCATCGCCCGACTCTTCCGAGTCCACCCGCCTGTCAACTGAACCCACACACATCCATAAGAACTCACACCCATGTTAGGGGGCCCTTTGAGGAACATATAACAGATTGACATCCAGTTGGAAGTCAAGAAGACTTCATTCAAAAATGTTTGTTGAACTAAGTTCAACAAACGTTTGAGTGTTTTCCATGGATGTCCCGGGTACCACCTGAGGCATCCAGTGGAGCGGGGAACTGTGGCGGATGGGAATGGGGCACAGCAGGGAGGCCACAGGGGTACAAAAGTGAGTGACATACTATTCCTGCCCTCAAGGAACTCGTGAAGAATTACCAGGTGTTCTGGAAGGCCTGGGTGGTTTGTGATTAAACGCCCTAGCGGTAACACACAGAGAAGCACCTCCTGTCTGGCTCCCTTTTGGCCTGGATGTCCACGTAGAGGGGACCATGTGACCCTCCCGCCACATACCTTCATCCATGCTCCACTATCCATTTGGCCAAGAAAACCAGCCCAGTTCACAGGCCCACGTTCTGAAAGAAATCAAGACTAACTCAAATCAGACTGTGGGCAGCGGGGAGCTCTAGAAAAAGGAGAAGACAGCCAGTAGTGCTAAATGCCCCACGAAGTCACTGATGCTGAATGTCAGGGCACCGTGACACCAGCGCACAGTTTTGAAAGGCTGGTAAATAAATATTTTTTGAATTAGCAAATCAGGCAGTGATTAAATGTGGCAGACTGGTAAGAATTCTTTGGCAAGACTGTCAAATAATTTCCCTTTTTCCTAACTTTTTTTTGCAACCTCTTTTGGAAATCTGTGGAAGACCTGGAGCACTAATGGATTACTTGGAATCATCAACCACACTCAAAGTGTTCTCTTTTCTGCCACTACAGCTTATTTACAAAGGGGTATGCTCTTTGAGGGGAAGGCAGCTATTTCACCTTTGTATCTCCTGCTGGGCCTAGCAAAGCAGCACCCGGAAAAGGACTGTTGGATAAGTCCTGATGAAACCCACCTCTAAAACCTCCAAACCCATTCCTTCTTCCCTGCCCTGGCAACTGCCTTGGATCAGCTACTCATTATCTGTGGCCTCGGCTCCTGCCTGGCCTCCTAACTGGTCTCTCGGTGGCTTGTCTGGCTGTTTAATCTATTCTCCATTGCTAGAGAATCTGATCTTATTCTAAAATCCAAATCTGATCTTTGACTCCAAAAATTTCTGGAATGCCACTGACTCTTCCTGAGTTTGCATCCTGTCTCTACAGACACAGCTTTGGCATGTTATTTTCTTTTCCAAGCCTCAGTCTCCTCACCTGTAGAAGGAGCTAGTATAGTACCTGCATCTCAGAGTTGCTGTCAGGCACAAAAACATGTGCATGACACGTACGCAGACATGCAATAAATCAGTTGTTACCAGGCACAGGTGGTCAAGGCTAAGGGACAACAGCAAGTTCTACTGGGCAATGGTCTGGTGCAGCGGAGCCCAGGGTGGGAGGGGCTTAGCTAATGAAGGGCAGCCAAAGCGAAACTTGGGACCCCCTCCCAAGGGACAGGGGCATGGGACAGCAGATCAGCACATAAGGTGACTATGCGGCGCCGGGGACTATGGACTGGCTCAAGGTATCAGCAGTGGGAATGGGTGAGGTATTAAAGATTTGGAGATATTAAGAAAGCAGGGGCAGCAGAGCTTGTTTATTCATTGGATGGGTGGGAGCCGGAGAGAAGGAACTGCCTGGGTAAATGTCTTGCCATTTACCAAGACCCGGAAACAGCTAAAGAGGAAGCGGGAATAGGTGGGAGGGTGGGAAGAAGGGGGATAAGAAGAGGCGCTTCCCTGCGTAGAAAGGCCTGATGGTCTGAAAGTCCAAGGCCCTTCACGTGTTTCTCCCCTCCACCAAGGCTCCACGGCCTTCCCTGCCAGCCTCACCGGCACATGCTCCTTCGCCCGCGAGCTGCCACTCCTCCAAACAGGTCACATGCCCTCACACCCCCTGCCTTTGTGCGGCTCCCTTCACCTGCAATGACCTTTGCTCCTTCCCTCAGCCTATCTCCAACCTGGCTGATTTATAGTCATCTTTCACGATTCACCTCAGAGCTGGCTTTGGTTGTGCAGCCGTCACTCACAAACATGCCTGCTCTTCTTTCACCGCCCCTGCTTCCCTAGCACTTGACACTGGAGACTGTGGTTGCTCTTCCGGAGCGCTCGAGAGACCAGCGGATCGAAAAGTACAGAAGCACTCGAAGACATGACTGGCTTTCCAACTGCGGTAAGCGTGTGTATGTAACTATATGCACACATAACGCGCACATACTTTTTTCCAACAAAGCGGAAGAGCTTGATTTAGTCTTTCTGACTAAATCGCTCTGAAAACAGGAAAACGTCGATTCTGTAACTCAGCTCTTGGCTCCTGGTCACCCCTTCCCCACGACCCATTCACTTTCGAGAGGACCCTTCTCCACCCCCGCCACGTTCACCAATGACCCGACTCGGGCGAGTCCCAGCGAGCCCCGCGCCTTGTTTCCTCGTCAGCTGCCCCGGGACGGGGCTGGCTGAGGAACTCGGTGCGAGGCTCCCACTAGCTGGCGGAAGCCAAGGCTGTGGAACCACCGCGCCCTCAGTCCTCCCGCACGCGCCCGGCTCGCCCCGCCGCTGGCCCCGGCCCTAGGTCCGGCACCTCCCGGGCCGCCCGCGCCTTCCTGGCCGCTACCGCCTCAGCACGGGGTCCCGGGTCCAGGGCCACCCCGCCCTGCCGGCTGGCAGATGTCAGGGAGCGCGCGCGGCGGGGTCCGAGCTGCGGCCGCACGCGAGCCGCCCCGTTTCTCCCGAGCAAGGCCGGTACGGGTCGCCGCCTCCCGCCTGCTGGGCCCTTCGGTCGCCGCCCCGCGGGGCCGCTCACCCTCCATCATCTCCTGCGACTGTTGCTGTCCCGCGCCGCGCTCTGCCGCCATGTTGGCTGCTCTTCCCCTTTCCGGTATCTATCGCCTCAGGCCCCTCAGCCAATGAGGGCTCCCAGCTCAGAGCTTTCCCAGCCAATGGGATCGCATACGCTTGCGCGGCCCCAGAGCCTCATGGGAGTTGTAGTCCTTCCGCGAGGCCGAGCCCGCCCCCAGCCCCCGCGCCGCCAGCCACACCACCCGGCGGACAGGTAATTAGCGCACGGGAGGTTTTGAAGGCGAGGAGCGGGTTGAGGGCAGGGATAGTCCGGGCCGCACGCACGGAGCCGAGCCTGCAGGAGAGCGGAGAGGAGTCTGGGAGCCGCTCTGGGCTCGTGGGCTGGTAGCCGGACACGGCGGGGCGGGTCCCTGCGTGGGGCTGCAAAGTGCGGGCCAATCGAGCGCATCCCCGGCCCCTCCGGGCCTCAGCGTCTGCGTCTGCACAATGGGCCGACATTGTCCCGGCGTCGCCGCGCGGACTGAGCCCGTGTGAAGGGGCCAATTCCAGTCAACGCTTAGCGCAGGGCGCCCGCGCTCGTTCCGGGCCCGGGGCCTGTCCGCTACCGGGTCTGCCCAAAGTGCCGGGAGAGCCGGTCGGGGCCCGGGACGCCGACCCGGCCACTGAGGGCGCCGCAGTCCCCGTCGGCCCCCGGCTCCCCGGGCATCGTGGGCCGTGAGGGAGCAGCCCTGCGCTCCCCGCCTTCAGGTCGAGGTCTCCGAGGGGCGAGCTCCGCGTTGCTCACCCTTCCTGAGACCAGAGGAAACGGCGTCCGCGGACCGGGCTGGTGGAGGCCCTGTCTCTTTTGGCTCCTCCGAGGCGCCGTAGACAGACTCCGGTGCGTCCCTAGCAACCGTTAGCGCGGGCGTCTCCTCCCGGGCTCGCTGCGTCCCCGCCCACAGGCGCTAGCGGTTGGCCCGTGAGTACTGTCAATCGGCATCGGTCGCTCTGTCATTGGTCGGTGGGGCTAGAGGCGCGGATGGGCTCCCTCCCGGCGGGTGATGGGAGCTCGGCGCCTGACTCTCTGCAGCCTTAGGTGAGCTACCCGCGCAGGGGGAGCCGGCCCGCGACCCCGCGCCGCCCGCGTGCCCTCCGTGCGGCGCGGCCGGGGGGTGGTCCGCTTGCCGCCCTGCGGCCGTTTGACCCCGGCCGCGCCCGCACCCGTCTCTCTGCGCGCCTCGGGGTCTTGGCCTCGGCCTGGCCCCACCTGGCGCTCCGTCCTCGCCCCTAGAGGGACTGTGTGTGCCTTGTCCCCCTACTGGAAGGGGGCCAGGAGGAGGCAGACCGCGTCTCGCTCTCGGCTCACGGTGCCCGGCACGTAGGAGCTTCTCAGTAGACGTTTGTGGGGCGAGCCATGGGCTGTAGCGCCATGTCCATGCTTCCTGACGTCCCCACTACACACCTGGGCTTTATCTTTAACCTCCTCACCAGTGTTTCTTTTCCTAGACAAGGGCCGTGGCCTTGGGATGCGGTCTTGATGACTTTTATCCCCTTACCTTCCACATCTCGCCCAGTAATCCTATATCAATTCCATGTCTAATTTCTCTTGTGGCTTCCCCTCTCCGTCTTTCTGGTGTTGCTTTAAGTTAAGACCTCATAATTTTTTGCCTGGATGACTGTAAGTTCCCCCTCCTCCCCCACTGGTCAGGTTACTTACAAGCATAGACCTCTAAATAAGATCCATACTGCTTGGGCCGGCATAGGAGGCCCTGGGAATCCCAACCAGCTTCTCCAGGCCCATCTCCACCGACTCTCCTGTGCGCTGAACTCCTCCCCAAGGGCTCTGGGAGTCTTTCACTTACTGTGGTTCTGCCTGGGAGGCTTCTTCACTCTATGTTGCTGGGCTCAGCCCTGCTGGTGCCTCGTCCAGGATATGCCTCTGAGGACCTTTCAGGTCTGAGACGTGCCCTTTGCTTACACCCTCCCTCACAGCAGCCATCATCCTGGATACTCTGTAGGATGCCTTGATGCAAGAAACAGAGATAGTCTCAAAATGGGTCTGACGGTGAGTGAAGTTATTGGCCCACAAGCCTAAAGTCCAGAGGAAGGCATGTTTTACGGTAGGTTCATCCAGTGGTTTGAAACAACATCTTGCCATTTTCAGCTCTGCTCGCCACCGTGTTAGCTTCATCCTGAGGCTGGTTCTGCTCTCGGTTGTATAGCAGTGGTGGGAGCATTTGGAGCTATTTGCTTCCTAGCGTTTGTTCTAGTGGGAGAAAGTCGGTGGCCTCCAGAAGTTCACCCATAAGAGCAAGGAGTACTATTCCAGAAGCTCCCTGCAAACCTGTCCTTCTGTTTGGTGGGGGGTGGGGAGTGTCACTCACACCTTCTGGAATCAAAACTAGCAGTGGGAGTAGGATTGCTCTGAAGCACCATCAGGTGCTCTCTGGGTCCAGCTTCCCACATCTTCTGCTCAGAGTGGCTACAAAACAAAACAAAATAATACCCTCCCCCCCCCCAAAAAAAAAAACAAAAAAAAACCCCCCCCCCCCCCAAAAAAAAAAAAGAAAACACACACACACAGCAAAAAAACAACACCTATTCTAAAAACCTAGTCCTGGATTAGGCCTGAGTCAAAACTGAACTTGTAAAAAAGGAAGAGATCTAAGGCTGTGTGAAGCTACGGTTTGTGCTCTCAGGGGCCAGCCTGGGGCTGTGGCCTGAATGTGCTGTGCAATGCTGAGCTAGCTCGGCAGACTGCAAACAGCACAGAAGGCACCAAGGGAAAAGGGATTGTCTTTGCTGTGTCCACTTCTTAATTTATCAACTTTAGACACTATTTACTTCCCCCCCAGGAAGGACAAAACATTTTGCTCCCTCCTCTCTCCACATTTCCTTCCTTCCTCTCCCTGTTTCTTGTCAATTTTATTATACAAAGTAAACTTTTGTAATATTTACAATGTATTCTGAAGAGTTTCATTACTTTCTTTTACAAAGTAAAGTTTTATAGCACTTACTGTGTAGTCTGAAGTCATAATCAAGTCTTCTGGGCTTTGTCTATAGGCTGGTTATAGAAGTGGAAAACTGAAATATGATCATGTTGTTATTAGTTATTGCAGAATAATTAGTGCATTGAGATGCTTAAAGAAGGAAATATCAACCTGTGACATTTAAATGTTGCTACTTGAAGGAGAGCAACACATTCTAATAAGTTTATTATTTCGCTTCTTTCTTGCTTCCTACTCACCATTTGGTTCATAGCCAGCTATTGCTTTTTAGGGTCCCATGCGGGATATAAACATGTACATGTAAAACATCTCAATTTTCCAGTATATACTAGTTGATTCATTTGCAATATTAGTCACAAATCAAAACAGTAAAGTGAACGTGTTTAAACTCACCACCCAAATTAGGAACTGGGAGACCCTGTGCCATTGTGCCCTCCCTCATTGCAGCTTGCTGCTGGACCCTCATAGGACATCTCCTGCCTGAAGTTTGGGTTTGTCACGTAACTGTGTACCCCTAAACAATATGTTTAGATGAGGGGGGTATGATAGAAAGGGTAGTCTTTCATACTTGATTTTTTTCACTTAAAATGCTAACATTTATCCTTGTGTGTATAGAATTTGTTTTCACTGCTATAATTCATAGCATGAATATACCAGAATTTTATATCTATTTTCTAATTGCTAAATGTTTAGGTTTTTTCTTTTCTTTTTTCTTTTGCCGTTATGAACCATACAGCCCTGAACGTTCTTGAGTGTGACTTGCTACCTATGTGTAAGAATATCTGTAGACTATAAATCTAAGAGTGGAAAGTACTATCAGAGAAGGAGAATGTTTGACTTAAATTGTTTTCTAAAGAGATTATATTAATTTGTTAGCCTTCCCATTGATCCACATCTTTATCAACATTTGGTATTAGAATTTGTAGATTCTTAATTTTTGCTGATTTAGTAGGTGTAAAATTGTCATGATTATGCTAATAAAGTTAAGCTTCTTATCATAGGTTTATAGGATTTTCTCTTGTGAAATTCTTGTTTCTATCGCCCATTTTTCTTTTTCTTTTCCTTTTTTAAAATTGAAATATAGTTGGCATACAGTATTGGTTTCAGGTGTACAACATAGTGGTTTGACATTTATATACTTTAGGAAATGATCTCCACAATAAGTTTAGTAACCATCTGTCATCATACACAATTATTACAATACTGTTGACTATATTCCCTACATTACATCCCTGTGACTTACTTATTGTATAACTGGGAGTTTGTACCTCTTAATCTCCCTCACCTATTTCACTAATCCCCCCAGCTACCTCCCTTCTGGCCACCACCAGGTTTTTTCTCTGTACTTATGAGTCTTTCTGTTTTGTTTCTACATTTGTTTTGTTTTTTGTTTTTTAGAGCCACATGTAAGTGAAATCATATGATATTTGTCTTTCTCTGACTTATTTTGCTTAGCATAATAACATCTAGATCCTTCCATGTTGTTGCAAATGGCAAGATTTCATTCTTTTTTTGGCTGAGTAATATTCAATCATATGTGTGTGTGTATATATGTGTGTGTGTGTGTGTGTGTGTGTGTGTATGTCTTTATATAATTGTGTATCCTGTAACCTTACTGAATTCACTTGTTACTTTTAATGTTTTTTGGTGGGATCTTTAAGGTTTTTAATATATAGTGTCATGTCATCTGCAAATAGTGACAATTTTACTTCTTCCGTTCCAGTTTGAATACCTTTTGTTTCTTTTTCTTGTCTGATTGCTTAGGCTTGGACTTCTAATACTATGTTGAATAAAAGTGGTGAGAGTAGGCATCCTTGTCTTCTTCCCAATCTTAGACAAAAAGCTTTCAGCTTTTCACCATTGAGTATGACGTTAGGTGTGGTTTTGTCATATATGACCTTTATTATGTTGAGGTATATTCCCAGTATACCCACTTTGTTAAAATTTTTTGTTATAAATGGAAATTGGATTTTGTCACATGTTTTTTCTGCATCTATTAAGATGATTGTAGGATTTTTATCTTTTGTCTTGTTAATATGGTGTATCATGTTGATTGATCTGCAGATACTGAACCACCCTT